TAGTGGCTTTAAACTGAAAGAGAGGAGATTTAGATTGGATATAAGGAAGAAATTCTTCCCTCTGAGGGTGTTGAGGCACTCAAACAGGTTGCCCGGGGAAGCTGTGGATGCCTCATCCCTGGAAGTGTTCCAGGCCACGTTCCAGGCTTTGAGCAACCTGGTCTAGTGGAAGGTGTCCCTGAATGCAAAGGAGGTACTAATGTCGGAGAATTTCGTTAGGGTAAATGCTCAGTCTCCTGCTTTATCTGACAGCTAAGGTTGATGATCTTCATGTCTTTGTCCTAAAATCACACCTGAGATAATTCACTTTCTTCTATTTAGAAAGAGCAATTTGTGTTTAGTAGATTAGGAGCATTCTTTGCACTTTAAGATTTGGATGTTTTGATGAGTGTAAGGTGTCAAATGATTGAAAGAATCCATAATAACTGGCCATTCAGCATTAAGGTTTCATTTGCATAAGTCTCAAAGATCATATACTTCTGTGAGCCTTGCATATCTCTTAAGTATTCCTCACATTTTTTTAATCCAGTTTTTCTTCTCCATGACTGTTGAGTCTGAGTTACGTTTTTCCTCCTTGATTTCAGACGAATCTTATCTTAATACAGTCAGCCTGACAGAAGGTTGTCTAGGATTCAAAATATGTTGTTAGTACATACTAACAATCACTTGTTACAGTCTCAAATCACAATCTGGGACTGAAATCAGAAAGAAAAAGGACTGGATATGTACATAGGTGTGGAGAATATGAATGTCTTTCAGAGAAGAAATACTAACCTTTCTTTTCAGAAATTCAGTTAATTTAACTGAGGAACAAGGTGACGTGTAATATAGCAGACAAATTGTCCTCCATTTTCTGTTGTGATTTCTTCTGATATGTCTGGCAGAAGTTGCTGTTTGACACAGTGTACTTGTGTAAAAAATTTGCCTGAAGTCTGTACTGCTGTTTGAAGAACACTTCTTGAAAATCTTTATGCTTTCTGCTGCTGTGGGTGAGAAAGGGAGGAGTAAGAATATTAATTCGACTTCAGGATGCTTCATATATCCCAGAAGAGTGTAAAGTCATTCTAATTTAATTACTGCTGCTCAGATAGGTAGCACAAGACATCCAGTATTGGAGGCTTGTCTCTTACCTCTTGATGGACCAGAGTGATTAGCTTCGAAGGCCTTTAGGTTTTAAAATGGAGAAGAGATACACAATGTAGACCGCAGAGAAAGAGAGAGAAAACGTAGTGCTGCATAACCTGTTTTATCTGTCACCAGCACTGGGTAGCTAAATTTTTAAGGAAAGTTAATTTGAGAAAGTGGTATTTTTAATTTCCATTTTTTCTTATTGTAGTTCAACACATGAATGGTATTATTTTCTATCTAGTTATTTCATGCGAATTGCTAAAACCCAGAAGAATCCTGTAGCCATTTGCTGAGGTTATTGAATGAAAGAGCAATGCACAAGTGGTGTACAGATTGAACCAATAACATTTATCTTAAACATGATGTGAATTATGATGACTTCAGGCTTAGGTTTACAATTTGAAAAGGATGCTCATAGAGCAACAGAATAGCGCTTAGTAGTCACAGTTCTTTTTATAATTGTAAAACACCCAATGAACAGAGAAATAAAGTCAAGTGCTACAGCCAGTTGCTACTGAGCCTTCCTTAACTAAATCATTGGGGATCATTTCAGAACATGATGACATGATTCAGAGAAATGTGAACCTGTTTGGAACATTTAAGAAGTCTGAAATACATTGTATAAAACAAGGCCTAAAATGAAATGATGGAAGTGTATATAAAGTTTTCTTCTAGTCTATAGATTTCTCTTCCTGCATGAAAGAAATATCTGAATGATTCATTAAAAGGGTTTTTTTACTTGAGAGCAGTCAGTCATCCTCTTTCACCTTTCTTGTTCAGCTGTTCCGCTGATTGTTTTGCACATTTTTGACCACTCTGTTGTGTTGCTCGTATCGTTTTTCAGTTTCCTTCATCTGGATGTCATTCTGTATTCACTCTCTGTATTTTGTTTCATCAGTAGGGATGAGACATTTTGACAAGGTCACCATGTATGACATGTCAGAAAGCTGCTTTTTTTTTAGTCTGGGATGACAACGTCTCACTGATTTGGCCTATTCTTATGGTAGAGAGGTTTCTCTTGATGTTGCTTGATAAATTGTAAATTAATAACACCTGACCTATCTTAATGTCCTGATATATGTAGAGCATTAGTATTTGTGAGATCCGGGCAGGATTGTCCTTTCTTCCTATGGGAGCTGATTTTTCAGTCTTAAACTACGCTCTTAAGAAAAGAGCCTTTGCCTTTATAGGAGGACAGTACGTTATGTCTGAGGAGTGAAGTTGACAGATATGTCTTTGCTATGGAAAGTAAGATGATCTTTTGGATACTCTGAAACAGACCACTGAGATATCTGAAGATAAAGAGGAAGACCTTGAATTTAGCTTCATCATCTTTGGAAAAGTAGCAGGAAACTAGGAAGTACTTTTGCAGCAATTGTGTCAACAGTTTAGCAGATACCAATGGAAGACCTTATAGGAGGGAAAAATTATTTTACATAAAACTGAAAACAAAACAGATCTCACTCACTCACACTCTGTCTCATGTTTGCAAGCACTAGATGATAGGTCCAGGATCTGCTGCAAAGACATGGAGAGCATGAGATGCCAGCTATCAAGTCTTCCTTACATCTCCTGGGTTCTTCATAGGTTGGCAACTATTTTCAGGCTTTGGATATGCATTTTTTACCCTTATGGAGCTGTCAGCAGTCTCTTTGTCCTTCCACACCTCTTTGAGTCATCACTGTTCACTGTTTTTGTCTCCAAGGTATGGTTATCTTGTGAAGCTACACATGCCTGTGGTCTTGATAACCTGATAATCTATATGACATCAGCATAAGCCAGTCTAAAGTGCCTTTTCCTGCTGTGTTTTTCCTTCTTGTGCCTCAGCACCCAAACATTCTCATTCATTCTTCATTCAAACCAATCTTAGCCTTTATATTGCAGTTCTCTACAAAGATGCTGTAGGTAGTGATAGTAGTTTCCCTATGAAATTAATATAATTGGGAGATGCTCTGCCTTAAGATACAAGCCCTAATTTCTTCTTGTGTTTCTATGGTTGTTTCTATGGCACTACAGGGACTCTGCTCTTGAGTACTTACTCAGTTTTCCTAAACACCCAGAACTCAAGTATTTGCTTGAAGCATTAATTGAGCTGAGATTTTTGTGTCTGGATAGGAGCTAATTTTAGGAAATTTCATGGCATTACGAAGCAGATTAATCTAACACGCGTAGACCTGGCTTTATTCACCTGTTGCCACTGCTATGTAAACACTTCATATCAGCAAAGATTGTAAGAGATTATTAACTACAGACAAAAGCAATTATTTTAAGGTCACATATTTTAATCAATACCTATTGCATGTCCAAGCTCATCTTCTTCTAATGTAAATGGAAGTAGACAGAAAACCATCAATACGTCTAAAATTCACATTCTAGTAATACCTGCTTCAGGGCGGTGATAAAACTGCTGTTCAGAATGCAGAGACATCAGCCTGCACTGTTACCCCTCTAAAAAGAGTGGAAAAAAATTGCTTATGAATCTTTCTGTACGCTATCATCATATAAGAAGAGATCACAAAAAATAACCCTTGTATATAATTCTCGTAATGGCATGATCAATACAATTTGCATCACTAGTCTTTAAAATCTGGGGAGACTCAGGATGCATAAACAAACTACATTACTGTAAAAAGTTGTTCTGCATCTTTTGATCCATCATCTGCCATCATATGTGCACAGAAGTGTAACAAAATAATTACCAAAGGAACTTCTAGAGCACAATGTGGCCTTATTACCCTAAATAGTTGCATTTTCTTTTGATCACATTTTATTTGATCACAATAATTAATTTTAAATAAAAGTTTGTCTGCTTAACTAGAAAACGTGTATGATGATGAAATTATGTTTTTTAACATTTATAAATACAATTTGTTTCAGGTTTGTTTTTCACTCAAGATTTCTACTGAAACAGACTTTTTAGGAGCTACTTTTTATCGATAAATATTAAATGGAAAAATGTAAACATAGTTGTCTGCCCTGACAGCTATGTAGTGTTGAAAAAATTTTAATTAAATATCTCTGTAATATTTTCCTTCTTCCCTTTTAACATGTACAGCAAGTCTTTTAGTTTTGAGATTTGAAAAAAAAAAGAATGTTTTAAGATTTGGTGAGAATGTGTTTGTTTGAATGCAGTATTGTCTATATATGTCTGATATTATGTCAGATTTTTTTGTATGAAAGCCCTGTTCTCTTCTTAAAAGCTTCAAATTCTCAAGACTGCTTTTTAAACCTTATTTTTAAATGGACACGACATCAATATTGTGAAAGCAAATGTTTACTTTCTTGCATTTTACGTGTTCAATTTACTTCATGTGCTATTGATTTAAATGAGTATTAAAGTTTTCCGGAAGGCTGAGGGCAAAATTATGTTTGTTAGTCAACTATATTTGCAAGACCAGTATGTGCATGGTACTGAAGAATCAAGTACTGCATTCAAATGTTCAGATGAGTGGCAAAAAAAACCTGTCATCCTAAGTAACTTCGGTAAGATCAACAAATTAACATACTCGTTAAGACTACATGCATATCAGCTGCTGCTATGCTGGCGTCGCTTCCAATGCTTAACATTTTCTTTGCAAATCTAGAACACAGGTGACACTGATATGTTGTGAACGCCACTGAAGTGGTGGAATCTTTCCATTTTGTGGGCACTGAGAAACAAATTAAGTTTCTGCAGGAAGCTGCAGACAAAGGATAGCAGTATGGTTTTAGGGTCCGCTAGTGTAGTCTTACCCTATTTCAGAAAGGTGAAGAAAATTGACATTATTATGTGTTCCTCAGCATCAGCGTTATAACGCAGCATAACCCATTATAAGCAGAAACTCTTCTGACTCCATTGTGCAGTTTTAGTAATGTCATGTCTTTTTCCACAGGAGCGTGGTTGTACCAGTAAAGAAACCTCCTCCGGGAAGTCTGGCCGTTACCACAGTTGGAGCTGCCACAGCTGGGAGCGGACTGCCACCGGGTAGTACACCTAATATATTTGCTGCAACAGGAGCTACACCAAAAAGTATGATTAATACAACAGGTATTGTCCTTAAATATTTTTGTGACCCTCATTTTTTCTTATTTGTTTTTTTGTTTTGTTACTTTTAGTGGTGTTTTGTTTTTTAATCATCTTTTTTGTTACTATTTTTGTACTTCGAAAATAAAACCTTAGAAAGATTAAATCTTGGCCTTTGTTAGAGCCAGTGTTTTCTCTTGGTGTGTGTTTATAATCTTTGATAGTGCACATTCGACTTGAAACAGCCTTAAATAAGTAAATAAATAGCCTTAATAGTGTTTTATAAGCATAGTTGAGAATTCAAATCAGCTAACTTCTCTAGTGCTCTGCAGTAGAGGATGCTTATATGATATATACCAATTAATCCCTCCTTATGCATCAAAGAAAGTAAAGACAACTCACTGTTCAATAAATATATTGTAGATTGTGGAGAGTTAATATTTTGGACAATTACTATTTGTCAATTAAAATTATGTTATGATTTTCGGAAGATTTTTTAGTAAGAAGCTACCTAATTTAACTGTTGTTATGTCTTATCAGTAGCTGCTTATTATGACCTATGGAAGGAGGACAAGACCTTCTTTTTTAATTATTTATCATAGTAATGATGGGATTGTCTATTGTGAAGGAGCCTGTTGACCATGGAGACTGTGGTTTCCATTCAGAAATGAATCCTCACTGAGAGCAACTGATGTTTACTTAAACCCCTTTGAAATATCTGGTTATGGTCTGTTTTCTTTCTAAACTAAACAAAAGCAATTGAAGAGCGCTCTTCAAGAATATCACAATTTCAGTCAAGGGTTGAGAAAGTGAAAATCTCCCTGGGGTTGCAGAAAATGGAGGGGAAAGCTTTTGGCATCCTTCTGCTTCATGGCATAATATGAAGACACACTCATTTTTTTTTTCTTTCCTTTTACAGATTACCTTTAATACCTGGTAATAGAACTTTGATTTTTCTAAGGAAAAAAAAAAATTAAAATCTGATTATCCTGAGGCAGATGGGAGGAATGAATGCTCTGAATAACGTTACCACTTCTATGAACAGTTCCATTTCTGTAGCCACTTCTTTTAATCTTGAACGGATTTCCTTTTAGGTACTCTTATGCCATGCAAAAAATATCCTACATTGGAAACCTTGTTTTCCAAATGATACTGAATAGTGTAAGCTTTTCAGTCTTCTCACTGATTAAAGACCTGAACTGTTTTGGCTGGAATGTAGTAGCTCTTCTTTGTAAGTAATTGCATTTAAAAATCAGTCATTTCCCTGATACTGTTCTTAGTATAGGACAGTATTGCAGATACCATGGTACCTTCACTGTGGATTAAAGGCTGCTTTTTTTTGGTAGATCTTATAGCCTCTTTTTTTTTTTTTAATGCAACTGTTTTTGTTCTCAAGTCTATGGATTAGCTTGATTAAAGGAAAAGTACTTATTCAATGGAATTTTAGCGAATATTGGATTTAATTAGAACTATACATGTACTGAACTTCTTTAGTGATATTATTTGGTAAAGCCTTTTATGCCTGAATTCATCTGAATGAGCTTTATTGATGAATTCTCTTAAGAAATAGTTTGAAAAGTCCTTCCCCTCCAACCTTTTTTAAAGAGTTGAATTTTATATAACATTTTAGAAATGCTAAACACATTAATGACAGGAAAAATAGTAGTATCACATTGAAAACATATAAATACCTATTAGATTAAAATGCTCATTTTGCATTTATAATTAAGCTATGCCTACGGTAGTTAAAACAGTGATTATGTATGTCAGTTTTTGAGAGATATACGTGAAATATCCAGATACTTTCTGGTTTATATACTTGTAGTCTGTGAAATTATCTATGTTATTAATGATTTCAAAGAATTTCATTGAAGAGCAATTTTTTTTTTTTTTTACTATGGTGAAAAAGAAACAGTATACAATATTTTAGAAACACTAGATGTCCCCCCAAACCTATTTACAGTTGTTTTTACAGTATGTCACAGATACTCTAGAAATACAGTTTTATCTTTGAGGTATATTCTGTACAGGACTTGTGCAAAAGGTGGTTTTTTTAGTTATTCATGGATTGCAGTCGATGTTTACATTCCATCTGCCATCACTGTCGTAGTCAATGTCACTGTCACAATGTAATGAGATGTATGTTACTGAAGTCCTTTTAGTGCTTTAAATGTGTCTTTTGGGAGACAGGTTTTCTTCCTTCGTCTCTTTATATAAGAAACTGTTTTTATAGGTTTTAGATTGAATTTCTGTAATTCATATCCTGATTCTCACTTCTGTGTTAATCCAGTAGTTCTAGGGCTGTTTGACCTTCTCTTCTGGGAGCCTAGCTGGTTAAGCAACTTAGCAACCGTGGTTTTAGACAACCTTCTTAATGAAGAAAATTTGACTTTGGAAGGAAAAGGGAAGAAGCAATAAAAATGCGTGTTGCTTATGTATATATGAATATAAATATGTAAATAACATAAATATTTAGGTATAAATACAAAAATAATATAAATATGTAAAGAATATAAATATGTGCGTGCACACACACACTCATATACACATATATATGAAGCCTTAATTTTTTTTTAAGCTACCCTATTCCCAGCTAAGTTACTGTGATTCCTAGGTTGGGATATACAGCCTACCTTATATTTTTGTGTTTCCTTCTCAGTGTGTTTGGGTACATTTAGAATTTGTATTTAGTCCAAATCCGAACCCACGGTGTTAAGCCACAATCCTTCTCCCACTTGCATTATTAAAACAGCAGATTAAATCAGTTCCTAGTCTAAATTCTGAGTCTCACCAGCTACTCTAGTGTCAGAAAGCCCAGCAAATCCTGCTGCATTTTGATACTGTTTTGAATGTAAATTTTCTTAAATAAGCCAGTCAAAATTCTGATCTTTACCTTAACTCTTTTATCAGTAAAAATTATTTAAAGGCAAATTAAAAAAAAAATAGTCACCCCTGCTGCCAGAGAATTTTTCAACGTTACCACCAGCATTTGACCTCTACTTCACTGTCATCTAGCTGCTTAAGCAGTTGAGAAACCATAAGTGTTTTGTAGAGCTTTGCAGGAAACTGAAAAATAATATATACCTCTATAATGCAAAGGACAGTGATATATCGAGTGCTAAAACTGACCAGCAGCCAGGAGTTACTAGTTATCATTTTAAAAAATTGGTGGAATAATGCCGTTGATCTCTAAACTGGGGTTCTCCACCCCTCATTGCTAACTTGGATTAATCTTGCCTGTCATCCTCATCTCTGGTAGCATTGCAGTCCCTTGTCCCTTAGGCTTTGGACTCTGACTGCAAGACCGTCCGTTGCTGCCTCTCTTGCAGTGACGTGTTGCACAAGGACCGTGCGGCAGAACAGGGACGGCATTTATCACGGCACTCTCACTGCTGTTCGTGGCCGCTCTGAGCCTTTGCTGGTTTGCTTCGGAGAGGCTGAACTCACAGCGCCGTTTCAGCAAACATGATAGATAGATTGGCATTTAGAGTCTAAGTTTAGCCCTTAGCTCTGACCCAGATCACATAAAGTATAAATGTATGCTCTGTCTGCGTCTTTTCTCTGGGCAGCTGTTCAGAACCCATTGAAATGATACTCCCACTGCCCTCCCTTCTTTTGAGATCTTAAAATTCTCTTTGACTCAAGGAAGGAAACAAAAAAAGTAAAATTAGAGTCTTAATACTCCTCAGACACTAGTTTCCCCTGTTATTTCCTGAAGGAATATACATTTTCTATCTTCTCTGTCATTTTCTAATTTGCGTTTTATTTTCTGCCGGTAGTTGCAACTGGGCAGCCAAGAAGTGTGTGCATATATATATTTTAAAAAGTAGTTAAACTTCTATTCTCCACTCAAGCTCATCTTAAATATACCTTTATTTTAGAAAGATCTTGCTTTACAGGATGATGTAAAAATGTTTTCATCTTTGGAATATAATTTGGGAATAATGAAAATGAGGTAAGGATTTCTTTTGCCTGATTTTCAATAGCTTTTTAAGCTTATTATTATTATACTAGCAAAATAAGGTATCAATTTATATGATAATCTTATGGAATGGCTTTAATTGCTTTAGAATAAATAACATAATTTCCTTACTTAAAAGTAGATGAATAAGACAAGGACTATATTAGAAGTCTCTAAAAGTTATGTTTCTTCAGACTGAATTAAGACCTGTATTTTTTGGGGGACAGGTGCAGTAGACTCAGGATCTTCTTCTTCCTCTTCGTCATCCAGCTTTGTGAATGGTGCTACCAGCAAAAATCTCCCAGCTGTCCAAACTGTTGCTCCAATGCCAGAGGATTCAGCTGAAAACATGAGGTACACAAGTTCTATCTTTTAATATTAATTATAATTTCTCCTCCCACAACAACTTCATACATACAAATAGTATAAAAAGAAGTATGTATACATATATGTAATTTAGCTCATGTAATATGCATTATCGTAGTTCTTAATGTAGTACAATATGTATTTATATGCTTTTTCAGTACTAAAAATGTATGTACTAAAATAACACTTCACTGAAAAGTCTAACTTCTAAGAATGATGCCAGGCACTAAAACTTCAGTAGAAGTAATTTTTTAGTTGACTGGCTTTTTGCATTGCTTAATAACCATAGTAAGAATTGGAACGCAAGCACAGCTTGGCAACGGAGCACTAGTAAGTGGAAAGAGACACACAACCTCTTCTGAGCAAACAAAAGCCCTATTTAAACTGGAGAGGATGAAACCAGTAATGTATTCATGCAGCTAACTAAACAGTGCACCACATCTGAGTGGGTGTTGCAAGACACACTTGCCATGGGATAGCTGCTACCCCTCTTACACTGACTGGCAGCCAGGAAAATGCCCTCTGAAATTCCCAGAAAATATCTTTGTACAATAGGTTATTAATTTGTAAAGGTATTCAGTTGTGCTGCAACACACTTCAAAGACGAATTTTTGATGCTTTAAAGGTGCACACCTGTCTGCCCTAAAAAGCTGACACAGGCTATAGTAGGGAGTTCCAAGTGTCCCTTAGTTGGCTGGCCACTTCAAGGTATGATTCTAAGAAGATTGGAGGGGCAACAGCAACTCATGAGCTTACAAGCTGAGGAACAAGAGAATTTCATTCTTTAATGAACTAAAAAGGAAATAAACTTAAATCAAGGACCCTAGGTAACCTGTAAATAAAAGTATTGGTGCTTCAGTGATTTAACACACAATGCAAAAAATGCCTTATTTTACTGCTTCTATCTGAAATGTCAGGTGAGTGCTGCAGGTGGAATCACAGCAATGGGTGTGGGCCCAGGCTGAATGCATTAGGGCTGTTGGCTCCACCCCAAAAAAGGTGCAAAAGATCAAGGAGAGAATGACCATTTAGATGGCATTATTTCATAGAATCATAGAATGGTTAGG